ATACTACACCTAGCACGCAAGGGTTAGTAGTTTGTGCTGTGGAGATAGGGTTTGCGAGTTAGTGGTGCTGAACAATCTTTTGTCAAGTGAGATATTATTCTGTTGCGTTTTTCTATAGATTCCAGCAACGGTAAGAGCACAAATGTAGGTTCAAATATAATAAAGTAAGTTGGGAGAATATCGTTACGCGTATACAGTAAACAATCTTTTGCTTTATTCTCTCTTTCTATCGGATGGCTAAGAAAGCTCAAAGAACTCAAAATTGTCTTAAATGTATTATAGATCGCTGGATACAGCGCATCGAACTGATTACGATAATATATTGTAACTTTTTTTCTTATAATTTAAAATGTTTACGTGTTTGTCTTTTATTGACCAGCCACCGTTAACTGCGCATACCTAGGAGACTTTGATACATGATGTTGCAACAAAAATCAGAAAAACGAATGTCATACTCATTGTAGCACAAAATATTTCAGTTGAACTATGTCGCTGTGGTTTATTATTAACTTTTAAAGTTCAAAAAACGCGAGAAAGTGGTACGCATAAACATCAAGAATAAAGTGTTCGGTTTTTGGTAGATTATTTGCAGAGAGTTCAATAATGTTTCTGCCATAGTTTATACCATAGAGGATCATTCATTATTGTATAGGTGTAATTGTATTTCGTGTAAATCGTATTAGTCTAAACTTTTGAAATGCTAGTTTGATCGAATCTTTTGAACCAAATGCTAAACAAACAAACGGATAAATAATAGGAACTAAATAAGAAAAATAATAGAAATAAAGTGTTTGAGCTTGTAACAATGTTGTATCAACCATAAAAAATGTTTCTATTAATGTACAAGCGTTCATCGGTGTCCATAAAAGACAATAGACGAGTGTTATAACCAGCAATTGTAATGTCATTTTGCGATCACGTTTCCATTTAAATGGCTGTAGTTTTAATTTTCGTTTTTGTTTTACTACACGTAAAACTAATGCTGATGAGAAAATGAATATAAACACAATTGGTAAACAACAATTAATTATTGTATCATAGATACCAATATTTGTGAATGCATAACATGGAGCAACACAGAGCAATTGTGCATAATCATAATTATTTTCACATTGATAAAAGTAGATCACAACGAGATAGAAAAGAAATGGATAGAGAATACAGAAAAGTATTGGCAGATAGTGGTAAAAATATTGATTTTTCTTATTTGACATCATTGGTCCCTTAAATATTAATAAATGTCGTTCAATTGAAAGAAATGCCATTAGAAAGAGATTAATGCCTGATAGAGTATAAACATTAAAAGCCCAATAGGAACAAAATCCATCAGTTGATGGCGTTACATATCCATTATATAAATATTGTTGTAACATTGGCAATGATGTTGTAGTTGACAGGAAACTAGTAATGAGAAGCAAAACAATGGCATGATTATGTAATGATTTCAACTGACGACGATTAATAGAATATTGATAAAATAAAAGTAATGAACAAAAGACTGATAATAGTTGAAATAATAAAACTAAATAAAACTTAATTTGACGTGATATTATTGATTCAAATGTTACTGATATAACAGTGGTCATTGATGATGACATTTCTCTCTCCATAATCAATTAGAATAAGCTATGTTAATAGCTGTTCACGCAAAAGTATCTAGAACAAACGATATATCTCTTTAATGTGCTACTGATTCATAAGTCATAATTTTCTCTTTTTCTCCTTATTATCAACTTTTTTTTCGTTTATAAATTATCGTTTCCTTTTATTCTTCTAGAATACGCCTAGCAAACTACATAATCACTTTTGATTGAAACTTCATTTCCCAGAATACAACGGAAATATATCCCACTACAGTACTCTAAAACTCAAACTTTGAACAAGTACTTGAATTGATACAATCTACTAGAAAACATTGGTGAGTACAGTCTTTAAAGAGCCCAAAAGAAATTCGAAGTGTTTCAGTTCGAGCCTAGTCTAAGTCTGCTACTTGTTCTTTTTTTCTCTATTTTCGCTCTTCAACATTTTTATTAATCCAAATGCTGTAACAGAAGTGTGAGGCTCTTTCGCGAACGACGATTCAGAAGTGATGCCGATCAACCGTCTGACAATTTATTATCAGTCAAATAATCATAACTGTGACATGCAAAAGTCATTCAAGGTAATGTGGTACCTCATTTAAGTGCTATATGGTATGCTCTCCATAGAATATGCGTATCCTGTCGTTTTGATCATGTTAGTTCTCACTTTTCTATTTACTCTAAGAAAAACCATAGATTACAGTCGACCTTAGAGGCTACTGGAAGAGCAAGTCTATACGACTGTGGCAAAAGCCTCCCTCATTCAACAACATAGCAAAAACAAGTAGAACGAAAAACACACAAGGCTGAACCTGTATAAACAAAAGTACAGAATGCCTTCTACAGAAAAACGTAACAGAATAATATCTCACTTGGCAAAAGATGGTTCAGCACCACTAACTCACAAACCCTATCTCCACAACCGAACACGTGAACATAAAGCACAAACTACTAACCCTTGCGTGCTAGGTGTAGTAA